TTGTTGCCATCACTATCATCACCTCATTTATCATTAGTACGATACATAAGCCGACGAAATGAACTTTCGACGAAATGATTGTTGACAAAATGATTGTCGATGAAGTGATTGTCGACGAAGTGATTGTCGACGAAACAATTTTCGACGAAATAATTTTCAATGAAATGAACTTTTCGACAAAATGAACTTTCGATGAAACAAACTTTCGACAAAATGGGTGTCAACGAAATGATTTTCAACGAAGTAAATGGGACCGAACCCCCTGGAAGAAAAATAATCAATACTAACCTGCATTAATTAACATCATTATTTGTCTTGGTGTGTGGTGGATGGCAGACAAAACCATTTATAATAACATGATTATAAAGCCACAAGTATTTATCCAATAAAATTCAAATATAATATATTAATATGCCAAATACGTCTAGCCTATTGGTCACTAGTCCTAAAACTCTTCCCAAGGAGTATCAATCAAATAGAATATTTACAATGGATCCAGATAGTATGTACAACTAGATTAGGGTGTCCCCTAGGGAATTTAAATAACGATTTATTTATCAAATGGTTTATTTGATTAGAGGATGTGGTTGAATTTCACAACGGCTTTCAATATGTAATAATGTTACTCAAAGATCAAATATTTGTTTTATTTATTGTTATTAGTTAAGAATGACCTAAGAGAATTAATTCCGAAATGATTTAAAAGGTTAAAAGATATAAATAAAAGCGATTTAAACAATTTAAGTGCTTTAATTTGATGATTCTGCAAAAATTTTAGCCAATCGAATTTTAAAGAAATATTATGTGGTACAAAACTAATATAAAGGTTACACTACGGCAAAACATTCCCTTTTCAAAATTTTCTTATATACTAAATGTCTGGCTACTTCAAAGTGCAAGATCCAAGCACTTTTTCATTCTTACAATATCTAACGTTCAAATATAGCAAAGAAGGAACACTAAAAGCAAACAAAAAGGAAGAATGGGCTGATTTTGTCGTCGGGTTAAAATTGTTCTTGACAGAAAGCAATGATGATTCTTTAAAAATATATTGGGAGGAAGAGCTAAGAGATGGAAATGTATATTTGTTGTTATGTTTGAATTATAAATCCTTTATGTTCTTTTAGATGGCTTATTAGAGAGAATTGTCTTACTTGGCTCACTTTGTGTTCCTTGTACGGCTAAGGATTTCTATAAGAATAGTCTATCAGCTAATCATTTTAAAAGATTTCTTGCTTTGTTTATGCCTCTTTCGCTTGCTTTGCTTGGGTCTCTTTGAGCTCCTTGTGCAGCTTGCTTGAGTCATTTATGCAGCTTGAACATCTTTTAAAGCCAGATTTTTTTTAATATATTAATATATAGGTCCATCGTGATTCGGAAGATGTATTACGTTTATGGAGAGGAATAAAATCAGAAGCGGGTGGGATTTTATTTTTCAGTTTATATTCAAGTCTTCTAAGAGATTTGATTGAAAATGAAATTAGAGGTAAATATTCTTATTAGCTGCTTTCAGCTGCGTTTCTTATTACTTCCTTTTATGAGTTCTAAGAATGTTCATTGACTGAAATTGACTATCTGTTTAGTTCCACAGCAGCAAAACTTGGGTTTGACATCATCTCGATCGTCTCAATCATCTCGATCTGTATCTTATCGGGAAAAAATTCGAGAAAATGAAAAAAAGGAGCATGAGTTGCGAAACAAGGTTTTTGAAAAGTACAATGAGTTGGCGGTATATGCAATTATATCTATGATATTCATTTTTTATCTTATAAAAAGATCATATCTAAGTTAAATATTCTTATATTGGTAGGGAATTTTGGAGGACATATGGAAGGTTAAGGTTCAATATAGTGAACAATGTATTGAAGTCAATATAGTGGAGAAAATATATCAAAATTTAAATAGAGAAAAACTAGATAATTTGGCATTCAATAACCCTTTTCTGTCTTGTATAATTGATCTTGACAATATACATTCAGTTTTACGTGAAATTTTCAATGATAGAGAATTAAGAGCAATGCATAAATGTGAAAAGGTGGAGAAATGGAAATACACAAGACCTGAATTTGAAGCATGGGTTGAAGACCTGGTAATATCAAATAATGTGAATTCTTTACAAGCATCACCTCCAATTGATTTAACAGACATAGAAAAGTTAGAATATAAATATATTTTGAAAATGTTTCAACATTTGTAAGTAATCTATTACATCAGAAAATTTTGTTGTAAAATTGCATTTCGTGTAATATATAGCAAGATTACAAGTTCAACGTAATTCTTACCCAATTTTATATAGGGGCTTGCAAGCCTGTTTCCTGATGTAATTATATATGATTTGTCAGAAAAACCGGTACTAATCAATCCTTACATTGTTTATTTAGAAAAGTACTTTGGAATCAAAGAAGATATGGAGAAATGTCTAAAGGCGGGAAAGATATATTAGAAGACACATACGTTCACGAAGTAGTGCATGAAATTATGTATGAAACTGTTCAAGGACTCAGTGATCAAATACAACTTGACTGGTAATTTTACTTTTCTGCTTTAAATTCATTTATTTTATATTATTTTATTAATGACTTGAAAATAAATTTAGGTCTACAAAAACGGCTGAAGATGGAAACAATAATGTTAATTGTGATTATGATAGTTGGTGTTTGCAGCTATCTGGAGCGAAAAGGCAGAACTACATCAACTTGTTCAAATCTACTAAGAAACCAGATTGGATGGCATCCTACTTATTTGAAGATGATAGATATGAATTCATTTATGGAGAAGCAGCAGGCCCCCCTTATTCACCATCAATCATGAGAACTGAAGAAAATAGAAGAAAATTGATTAGGTTTCTACGTCGTTCCAAAAAATCGTTCAAGAAAAAGATACAAATGAATTTTATGTCAATATTCGATGAAGAAGTTGAAAACCTGTTAGAAAACATTTCAAGATTTGGAATGTTAACATCCGGTAAAGTTTTTTTATTACGATCCTTTATTGTAAAATACAGTATTTATAAATGTCTTCTTTTTTTATGTCTGTAGGTACATCGTTGAAGATAATATCTTATGATACCCCTCAATTTGGAATCGGACAAATACTGCAAATTATAAATGTAAAAGTACCACTAAAATTTGGTTGTAAAGCCTATGTTGTAAAAAATTATCTTTTAGGATTATTAATTTTCCGAAGAGGAGTTTTAGAGTCTCTTAAATGTTTAAGGAATCTCGAGAATTTAATTGAAAGAAAAATGAATGTGTCTGCAAATATTCTATATATACCACCATTAGAACCAGAAGATGATGTATTTCCATCTCCAATGAAGAAAAATAGGCTGAATTATTAATTTTTATTCATTCAATTAAATTTTTAAAAAAATAACAAAATTGTTAATTATAAATTATATATAATATGTGGAAACTTATATTGCATCTAGAAACTCAAAATATGGAAAGATTATAGAAACAAAGCAGAAGACAGAAGATTTGTTAAATTTACTGTTCTTAAGTAATTTTTTGATATTCGAATAATATATTATCTTTTAAAGTTGTGTATATACATAGTGTAAAATAGCGATTTGAGAATCATGGGAAATTTAAAATAAATAAATCGAAGAAAATCGGAAAATCATATTGATAATATTAAGATTTATTGGTCTAATTTCATAATGTTAATCAATCAATCTAGTAAACCAATAAAATAATTAGCTCACGGAAATTATCCATAAAGATTATCCTAATACTAATATTCTAAATTGTAACATTTCTTTAATTCCGAATTCAAAATCATTCGTTCATTTTAAAAAGAACTTGTAAATATTCTCAAAAGAAAAGTCTTGTTTATTTTAAGGAATACATTTAATTAGAACAAATTAAGAATTTTAAGAAATCGGAGAACTAGATGATATAACCTTTAACATGTATAAATAACGTTGTAATTTTCTTTACTTCATTTAATCATCATCATCATATTTATAATCTTTAACATCATTAGCATTTAATAAATAACAAACTGTCCTTAGCCTTGACCTCAAAGTTCATATTTTCGTAATGATAATAAATTTATCTCTAACAATGAATTCATACTAATCCCGTGCATAATTATTTTCTCTTATTTTATATTTGTCTCTAATTTTATTATTAATTTTTCTTTTCTTTCTTTTTGTGAGGTAATATTTAATAAATTTTATTTGGTGAAGTTTGGATACGTACCTGACTTGGTAGTAAAGAGGGAGACAGCTAGAAGGGCACCCATCAAGAAACGTGATCAGGACATAGTGTGAAATCTAAAGAAGATATTGTTTAATATTGCTTAGCAAGGAATTGTTTAATGATAGGGAAAGATAATTTCGAAAGTAAAGCATAAATGTATATTCGCGGAAATTGTTGTTACGATTTAGTATATTTTATTGTATTAACATTGACATCAAATAAAGTATTGAAATTTTTGTGAGAGTTGGACACGATCTCACAATAGTGAATATTTATCATATCTGTATATTTGATATTAATAATGATCTTTATTTATTATCTCTTAAACCGTAGCACATTTTGATAAAAATTGAAAGCCAAAAATCACTTCCTATCTAACCCAATGAAATTTTTATAATTTTTTTAAATTATGTAATTCACATTATGTGCTATATTTAAAGAAAATTTTTACAACTTATAAAAATTTTTTATAGAATACAGTGAACCCAATGAAACTTACATTGCTATAACCAGTAATTTAAGTTAGAAACATTTGAAAAGCTTCTTTATTATTAAGTTTTCAAAATTATGAATATAAAACACATTAATTTTATCATTTTACCAATAATGATTTTATCTTATCCATTTTAATTTAAATCTAGATCATAATTGTTTTTCATGGAATCAGTTAATCAGTTGAGGATCTGTATTTTCTCTTTTATATCGATTATTGAATATATACTTGAAAATATTTTTGATATTTATTTACAATTTGATTCTTTTCTGCCCACTTTGCTTGTCACCACAGGACCAATTTTAGAATCTTTTCTATTTTAAAATAAATGAAAACTTACAAAGTGAACATAAAATTATATATATAGGGATAAGTGTATATGAAAAATAATAATGTAAATAATAATCATAATGGTTCTAATGAATATCAAAAGGCAGTTAATTTTTTAGAAAAAAGATGTTATTGTGGTTGCTCTTCAAGAATTCCCAAGGAAGAATTTGCAGAATTAAGGGAATCTTTCAAGCTCTTTCTAAAGTAGAACAAGATATATTCTTAATGGCCCAACTTAAGGCAATGAATGGTGGATCAATAAGTACTAGTAGACGCCTTAAAAAGAAAACCAGATCTAATAAAAGAACTTTCTATCACTGAGATCATAATACACTTCTTTGTCAAGAAACTTATCTCAATATGTTGGGAATTGGTAGGACTTACTTTGAAAATATCAGAAATCACCTGATAAATAATGGTCTTTTAGCAAGAGTTCATGGTAATATTAAAAGGATGCCTCAATGGAAAACTAAGATGGTGATTGATAAAAATGTTGCAGAAGTAATAAAGAATTTTCTGGAAAATTATGCAGAAGTCCATGGATTACCAAGTCCAGGAAGGAGTATCAATAGAATAACTCAATCAATTGTATTCTTACCAGCTGAAATGAGTTATAAATCAGTACATAGAGACTTTTTGGCTGGTTTAGAA